ATATATATGTGAATATGAAAAAAAGCTTTTTAGACTTTTTTCCATTGTAATTTCTAATTAAATCAATCCAACCACTTTCAATCTAAGGGATGAGTAGTTCCAACATTTGATTTTTGGAAGATTTACGTACCATTTAATTCCTAGTATTTACATATCTAAAACCAAAACTTTAATTTTTGCATACATGCCACCTTACCTTTGAATAAAAAGGAGTATTTCACTTTCTAAATGATAAAATGGTGGTATTTTTGATGTGATGGGAAAGATTTGGGTCGTAAAAATGTAAAAAGAAAGTAAAGTTTAGCTGTTAAATATGTAAATATATAGAAATTGGGTGGTGTGTATGTAATTACCCCTTGATTAATTTTTGGTTGATCCCAGCTCCCTACAAAACCATTTTTTTTAGCTGTTTAATATGGTTTTTTTATAATTTTGAAAAATATATATATATATATTTCGCGTGGCAGATCCATTCTTCGGACATATGCTCATGATGATGTTAGTGCTGGATCATGGTTTATTGGGATGGATGTGAAGCATATCAATGAAGTAAAACTCTGCTGTTCCACATGGTCCACAGGTTCTCCCCTCTCCACTAATAATTTACCCACCCAGTTTGAACTTTCTGCACTGCCTGAGTCCCAGTTTATGTTCTTAGATTATTTATTTGCATTACACCCCTAATTACATTGTTTTTACAAGTTTTTTTTTCATCAGATTTTTCTTCATAAACAGGATCTGTATGTGCAGCTGTGTGAATGGTTTCTGATTTACTGTGAGTTTCACTTGGTCACATCACAGCACTAACAATGGCAGAGCAGTTTCTGTAGCATCTGGAAGGTATTGGCTTTCACTGCTAAATCTTCATTCTCCTTATAGCTTATAGTTTTTTTTTTTTTTTCCTTCCTTTTTTTTTGTGGTATATTTATTTAAGCAGATTAGGTAGAAACACCATCATCAAAATGTCACTAGGATAGCTTTGCCACACCATTCTTCCATGTCCAACTAATGATGTCTTGGAATTATAATAGAAAAATCATTGGTGTTTACTAGTTTTGTAATGCATTAAATTTATTTGTTGTTGTAAGTTGTGTTTATTTTAATGAGATGGAGAAGATGAGCTTTGTTTAATGCTGTGGTTAATTCCGAACTTGGGCTTTAGTCATTTTGGGATAGTTTTTTTGTTTTTCTTTTTCCTTTCTTTTTCCGGTAGGGAGCGTGCTCCGACTCGATAGCACAGGATTCTTTACCTTTGATTTCAATTAGTTTGTTGCGCATTTGAGCACATAATCTGTGATATTTGCAATGGTGGGAAAACGCAGCTTTTGAAAGTAGTTTTTTATTACTTTTTTTCTTTGAAAAAATAAGTTTTCATTGATAGGCCTATAAATGGAAAAAAAAATATTGCATCTGGACAACGGTTGCGATCAATAAGAGGTCCGTTTTTCCCGATCAATAAGAGGTCCGTTTTTCCCCTCGCTCTTTCCGGTGGATCACGGCCGTTGTCCATACGAAGCTTGGTCTGGACTCCAAACGTATAATTTTTTTGTATAAATTAACCAAGTTGAGTTGAGCTCGAACAAACATATGCTTGTTCAAGCTCAACCTCATTGATCTTCGGAGTTCATTTATCAAAATTCAATTTTAATTCGGGTCATATTGGGATTATTAAATTTATTAACTATCGGTTCATTTAACAAAATAAATATGCAAGCCTTAACCCAGTTTTAATTGAGCTTTACACAAACGTTTTATTTTAAAAATAAATGAGTTGTATCAAATTTAAAAATTAAATTTTAAATGGTAATATTCATAAATAAATTCTAATTCAGCTTTCTAATGAATTGTAAATAATATTGCTCTTCAGCATAAATTAATAGAACAATAAGAAACTAAATATTTGTTGTTTATATATATATATATATATA